ATGATATACACATGTAGTTCCTGAATGCATCTTATTGTATGCTAGGTATGAATTTATTTAGATATCTCCCATATCTTAGGATACCTGCCTTCTCAAAATGTCTTTGGTGATTTATCTTGCAGCATTTGTTTTCATCCTCTTTTCATCTTTTCTTCTGCTAAAAATTTCTAGTTTCATCATTGGGAATTTACACTAAGAAAGTACATATTAAAAATGTGTATATATGCATGAACATATTACTCAATTTTGGGATCTAGAAAAGAGTGAAATTGTGAAGGTCTTAGTTTCAACAGAGGATTTAATAGTTATTGTTTGTCTTGCAGTTTGCTAAGTGACTTGATAAAATCCAAACCTAATATCGAAGATGGAGAGCTTGCCGTTGGAATCCTAGCTTTCCGTGAACTTCAGACAGATTGCTGTGCAGCTGCAAACCAAAAGGAATGCTTTGACACAAAGGTATACCTTAAATAGGAGAATGGATGGGGAAAGTTTAATAAAGTGTTCTGGCTTATTGCTGCCTCCAAATGTACATTTCCTTTCATCAAATAAGTTCCAGTTTGGTGCATTAAGCTGTTACTCTTACAGTGTACAGTTGGCATGCCCATATGTAAAAGAGATAGGAACATATGTAAGGATTCCAGCCTTAATTTCCTGATTCTTTAATATACAGAAAAATGTTTAATCTGATATTTTACATACATTCTCCTAGAATTCATTCAACCATTCATTATTAAGAACTCTGTAACATCCATATTGTGAAAAAGTGTAGCTTATATTATGTTTATATTATCCCATATGTTTATGGGACAGGAACACTTTATTTCCAGGTAATCCATTTTAGTGATGATTTTTAATTCATACACAAACTGCATGCATTTGAATGAAATGTAGCTATTAGAAACCAGTCTTTAGAAAAATCTAAAATTTGATAGTAAAATGTGATTTATCTATTGGAAGATAATTCTGCAAATCTGCAGCACAAAAAGAAAAACTGAAATTTTGTCACCTCTGTACTATGGCATGCACAAAGATATCTGTTATAAAAATTTGCCAGCATCTTCGAAGTAAATGAATTGTGTGTTTTATTGCAAAAACGGTGCGGAACAAAAGTCCACATTATACTAGTTATATCTTTTTCTACCTTGGTTTTGGTAATACCTTGTACGTAGCCAGTTTGGTCTAGTGATTAAGGCACCAGAATAGAAACCACAAAATTAAGAGTTCTAATCCTGCCTTAGGTATGAAAGCTGGATGTTTGACTTTGGATCAGTTGTCCTCTTAGCAGCCAAACACTCACAGGGTTTTTATTGTGGGAAAAATAGGAGGAGGAAGAATATTAGGTAAACAACATTAAGTTGTTTATAAAAACAATAAAATGTATGTGAGTGATTACACATCTTTTGTGTCTTGTGTAATGAGAAGCTGACAAATCTAAGAATGCTCAAGTGAATATGAACATGGAGGGTTTTAGTTGCAGAAGCAGCCTTCTGTGCATAATAATGTGTTAGGAAGAACACGATTAATTTATTCAACTGGGTGAAGATTTGTGTTTGTTACTTTGTTCAGCAAAGCCTTGTAAACTTTTTTTTTTCAGGGTCAAAAACTGGTTGAACAGATCCAAAGTGGTCAAATATCCGTGTAACTATCTTAGGTGAGTTAATATAGAGATATAAATATTGAGTTTGTATATCAATGTCTTAGTGATTTTATGCTGATGATGCTTGAATGGGATAGTAAGCCATTGCTGCACACCAATGATACCAATTTGTGAATAAGCCTCTATCCAGTCATGACGTTCTTTGGATTAATATAACATGACTCTTCAGTCTCTTCAAACAATACCTTCCTTATTTTGAAAAAACCCAAGGTGAATTAATTTTTCTTTATTATCAAAATCCTTTAAACTAATATTTTCTCTTTGAATTTAAAACAGTCCCTGACAAAAAAACCATCTTGAATTATTTATTTATCCAGTTGTCCTAATTTACGTTGATAATTTGAAACACATAGGTTCTTATGCAGTGCCATGGTTATTTTAAGCTCCATTGCCTTTTACATTGTTGCCCCCAATATATGTTTAATGTAAAATGTTAGCAATGACATTGTCACCAAAATGTATTTCTTCCATAATGTCTCTCTCAAAATTCATTTTTCCCCTTAATTCTTGATTACTGAGTTTAAATATTACATATGTATAAATAATAAATTGAACCTTTTCTTTCTTTCTTTTTTGTAGCTTCCACAATGGAATAATGCTGGAGATAAAGAATCCAAACATCCCCAAGTATACTTGGTTGCTGTTTTCATGTCAGCCTTTTAATCCCAATTTGATTCTTGGTGAAACAATTATTTCTTATGAGAGTGTGACTATCTTTAAAATGAAAATGAATAAAAGCTTTAAAAGGAAAGTTTGGCTGATTAATTAATGCTAAAAAGATATGACATCAACATGTGTTTGATTATTTGTTTCCATGTATGGATCTCTCTCTCTCTCTCTCTCTCTCTCTCTCTCTCTCTCTCTGTGTGTGTGTGTGTGTGTGTGTGTGTGTGTGTGTGTGTCTGTACAAGAGATAATATAAAAAAGAGAGAATGAAAAGAATGAAATTCTGGGTACATTGAGAGGATTCAATAACCAAGACATCAAAATTCAAGTAATAGTTTCTGCTCATTGTTACCTAAAGTATATTCTGATCATTTAGTGTCTCCTTCTTCCTAAAAGAGGCTGTGTGAGTGTATACATAAACATTATGCATATATACATTTCTTTAATATCAGAAATGTTTTATATGGCAGAGACATAACATTTTTTCATAGTTATGTTTAATATATATATGTGTGTGTGTGTGTGTGTGTATTCAACCAAATATTCATGTTTCAGTAACTGTAATTGTATGTGTTTTTTATGTGTATGTGTATGTGTATGTGTATGTGTATGTGTATTTGTATTTGTATTTGTATGTGTATGTGCGTGACCACAATTAAGCTTTTGGCTTTTCTTCAAACAAAAACATATCCTGATAATTTCACAGAGAACTCCCAGTAGCTTTATTGGCCAGAATGTGGAAATACTTTGTCAAAACCTTTGGATAATTTAGTTATAAGTATCATGAAAATCCTTTTAAATGAATGGTTCCAATACATATTTTTGTAAAAAAGGAAATAATATATTTGGTGAAAAGTCATCCATATCCCTAAATTACACGCGCGCGCGCACACACACACACACACACACACACACACACACACCAAAAAATCTCTTCTAATATGATTCATACTTTGGTACCCATGGTTAGCTAAGACTGTCATTAACTGCTTGCAATGGCTGAGCAGAACAAGCTGTCCATTTAGCCAAAGAGGCCCTGGGGAGGATAGGTCCTGGGAGTTGGCATAATAAATTGGTCTCCTACCTGCTGGGGCAACATTCAACACTCTGCCCAGAACACAAACGATAGTCCTGCAGAGCTATTAATGGGTTGGCAGCTCTACATGATGCTAGAACAGCTGCACCCAAATTATGCAGCTGACCATTCCTATAGCAGGGCCCTGACACCAGAGAATTTCAGGTGGGGGACCGGATCTACATCTAAAATTATTCTGGGGACTCTAGGCCTTTCCACAACTACAATTCTGCCTGACACCGCCTACTGCCAAACCAGCTAGCTACCGGCAGACTTCAGCTATCTCAATCTGCAACGCTCTCAGTGGAGGACTTACCAGTAGAACTGGGCCAGCCTCCTTGGATGGAGCCTCGTGATGAAATCAACGCCCATTCCCAGGTCAGGGCGGAGCAGGAGGCAATGATTACACACCAGAATTCTGAAGAAACTGGCAAATATCATCTCGGAACCATTGTACCATATCTTTGAAGTTCTTGGAGCACTGGGGAACTAACATTTTTCGGAGTATAAGATGTACCTTTTTTCCTCCAAAAAGAGGCTGAAAAGCTGGGTGTGTTTTGTACACTGAATACAGCATTTTTTTGCCTCACAAAGCCCCTCCCCCTTCACCAAAATAGCTGTACATAGCCTTATGGAGGCTTCCAGAGAGCTCCTGGGGGCTGGAAAGGGCAGAAATGAGCAAAAAAACCCATTCTGTTTGTGGCCTCCCCATCAGCACTCTATAAGCCTCCATTAGGCTATGCATGCATTTATTTATTTTTTACAAAAAGGGCCCATTTTCACTAACAGCNAAAAAAATTAGCCTCCTTACAGGTCCACCATAAGTGGTAGTATGTTCCATGCATTGATTCACATTTCCAGCATTTTGGGGAGGTATTTGTTGAGATAAAATTATTTGTATGTCATAAATTTATCTCAGCTCTTAAACTACTTGTCTGGAAGGATTTAATTGCATTGCCTGCACTAAAACAGGATTCAGTTGCCAGTCCAGTTGGAATTTTTAGATTGAATGGAGAAAATGTCATTATCCTTTGTTTCAAATAGTAAAAGGTTCAGGCAGATGGAGGGTGATCTAGAGATAACACATTGGAATTAAAAAAGTTAATGAATCTCTCTAATGTAGGACAGAAATAAGAGGAAAAAAGAAAATGTCAAATTAGTAATTAAAGAGCAAAACAATCTAGCAAATTAAACCTGAAAGGGAGAAGCATGGAATCACAATTAATATTGGAAAAGATATGTGTTTGGGTAATTCCAACTAATATCAAAAGAAACAAATTCTCCTTTCTGTAGCTAACAATGTTTTCTGATCCCATTTTCTCCTGTTTTAGCTTCCTCTTTACATTAACAAGAAACCATCCTGAACTTTCTAAACTGATTGATGTGGAAATTTTGCATAAATATAAATCATTGGCGACCAAATGCTGCGTACTAGAAGACAAAGTACAGTGTTTGCATGCAGGGGTGAGTTCAGGGCACTTCCTGTTGATTCTCTGTCACCTACCCCAGCCCAGCCCAACCCAGCCCCATTGTAACACTATTAATAATTATTCAGAAACTGAAGGACAAATTCTGAGTTAAGATGTTATCTTTATTAAAGGTCATGTCTAGAATGGAAAGTTTCAGCCTCAGCCAATGTGTAAGGCTGTTTTTTTTTAATTATTTGTTTTTGCTTCTTTTGTTTTGCTATGTTTTATTTTCCTTGGAAAGATGGAACATTCATTACACTAGAAGTCATTACAATGTGTACTGGGTGGAGCAGCTCTTAAAAATATTTGAAAATCGTAACTGTTGTAAAGTGTACTATCCAAATAGTTTTCTGGTAAATGCTTTTCTTTCTATATCACACAGGTGTTATGTATAACACCTGTTTAAATTTTCATGTCAGTTTGTAATGTCTCTAATCTACAAAATGAGTTCAGATGATAGGAACATGTCATGTGGCATTTTCTATGGCAGCACTCTATACAAAGGGAATATTTTTATATACTATTTATTTACTATAAATGACTTTGGGGCCCTTCTTCAGAATGGAATGAAGCATAAAGACATTGTATGATATTTTTAAAAAGTGAATCACTCAGTATAGATTTATTCTAAAATTATAATTACCAATGAAGGTTTCTAAAGATTTCTGAATTATGAACAGAGGTTGCAGGAAAACAAACGTGGAAAGAAAAATTAGATATAAAAGGAATATATAGCATTAGCCAGAGTCACATTTTCATATTTAATGATTACAACAAAATTGTTTTTAACAAATCATGATCTTTCCATTCACATTTGCCTCTAACATGGGGGAAAGCCAAAGTTGCTAATCCCATCTTCAACTGTCTTTAATATGCCTTGTCTTCTCCAGAGTAAGAATTATTTACATATTTCTGCAACATTCTCCCAGCATTATTTATATTGATTCTTCCGAGGTGCGCTTGTTATTGCAGATTTTTTTAAAAGTGTTTCCTTTTTCAGGAAGAACAGCTCAAATTATATATTACTAAGATTACTGAAGTTGTGAAGAATAATTGCAATAATTATAAAGAAATAGGAGCCTACTTCTTCCAAAATGAGTAAGTTTTTCTTTGAATGATACATTTGTAAATTTTCGATAAGCAGAACCATTTGCAAAATTGCCTATAATTTAGGGAGATTAAAGAAACTAAGATTCCACCAAATATTTAAAATATCTTGAGATTCTCTTGCATCTGTAGTGATTTTTAGTTTTTTATAGATGAATATTCAGGAAATTAATTTCTAAATGTTTTGCTGCCTATGAGTAGACTAGAGAATTCAGTTGTAACTATGAATCTAATTTTTATAATATTAAAATAATGTTTTCTAGGCATAAAAGAATTTTAAAATGCACCAAAGGAGTGTAATAAAATATCATAGAGCTTGTGGCCACGTGTATAATCATTTAAATCAACATAAAAGTTAATATTTACTCAAGTGCT